TGATGTTTTTGCCTTAGAGCCAGCCAATGTGAAATGTCTGAAACTGGGGGCCAACATAAACCTTTTCTCCCTTAGGTTCTCTTCATCAGGTATGTTGTTACAGCAACAGAATTATAACTAACTGAAAATTGTTAACAGATGTGTAATTGTTGTTATAAGTCAACCTGACCTCGTTCAGAGAAGAGATTGGAGAACCAGCCTAAAGAAATCCTAGAAGACTATAAGGAGAGACCGATAGGCAGTTCTGTTGGTTTCAGATGACTAGAATGCTTAGGGGAATGTGAAAAGTCAAGACTGTCCTCATATGGGAATGAGAGTTCTATTGTGAATTGGATTAGATCATGTTACATTCTGGAAAAGAATTTGTCTACATTTTTTTCTCTATACACCAGTTTGGAAGAAACCAAAAACATGACAAGAGAAAGAAACAAGAAAAAGTCTTTAACCCCCAGCCCTGAGAACATTGATTCAGGAGAGCTAAATACAAAAGAGATTGAGGGCAGCAAACATGCAGTATCAGATACGGCATCAGTGGACATAAAGAAATAGCTTCAGAACTCCATAGATGAGCTCAAAAGTAACATATTTAATCAAGTAAAGCAAGATATAAGTAGATTAATAAAAGAAATGCTAAGCACCTCTCAAGAAGACACAGACAGAAGAATGGAGGAACACAAACCAAAGAGAGAAATGTTTGTTGAAGAATATAAAGAAAACCTAGAATACGTGAAGCAGGTTCAAAGAGATTACCAGGAAACAAAAAACTCCATTGAAAGCTGACAAAAGTGCTTGAAAGAAACTAAGGATAGACGATTTGTTAAAACTTGAAGACAGGTTTGCAAAGTGTGATTGTAAAAGGAAAAATTGCTTAAAAATAACAGGGAAACAGCAAGAATACAAAGGCTAGAAGACAACAAGAGGATCCATAACTTAAGAATAAAGTATGTGAAGAAGCAGGGGTACAAACAAAGGAACTACAAAAGGTATTCACAGAAATAACTAAGGAAAACTTCCCAAGCATAGGAAAGGAAATGATATTCAGATGTATGAGGCATACAGAACTCCAACCACCTACAACCAAAACAGAGACACACGCAGGTATATAATAATCAAGATCCCAGAAATTCAATATAACAACAGAATATTAAAAGCCATCAGAGGAAAGAAACATCACCTATATAGGAAAACCCTTCAAAAGCATGGCAGACTTCTCAACACAGACTGTCAAATCAAGAAAAGCTTGCAGCAAATATTCCAAGCCCTGAAAGAAAATAACCTCCAGCCCAGATTGTTGTACCTTGAAAAACTGTCTCTAGAAATTAGTGGAGAAACAAGATGCTTCCAAGACAAAGAAGAACTGGGGGAATTCACGACCACCAATCCAACTCTACAAAGAATACTGAAGGACATTCTAGATAGAGAGAAAAGTACCAGGATTTCAGGAACAGTGACACAGGGGCCTCAATGAATGGAGCAGAAAGTGGAATGAAGGAGAAAAACAGACAACTAATGGCAGAAAAAGAGCATAGCAGAAATAAAGCAGAGAAGGTTGGCTGTAATCTTTAATATAGATGGCCTTGATACACTAAAAAAAAAAACAAAAACAAAAAGGAAAGGAAAAAACACAGGCAGAGTAGATAAGGAGGTAGGGTCCACCGAGATATTCTATATAGGAAATATAATTAACCTGAAAAAGGGTTTACAGACTGAAAATCAAACGTGAGAAAACAATGCCGTATGTGGCAGGGAACCAGAGAGTAATAGGGGCAACTAGACCAGTATTTGTGGATAGGTTGGAAAGATAGGCTTTACTAGGTAAAGGAATACAACTAGAGATCAAATCCTGGAGGGAGAAGGTTTGGAACCACTTAGGTAAATAGCAGGTTGTCCCCCAATCTAAAAACTGAGGGAATTGGTGGGACCCAAAAATGCACAGTACACCCTGTGGGAGTGAAAGGGGAGGAATAGTCTAAAAAAAGAAGGCAGAGGATATTGTTAATAGTGTATCAGGATTTAAAACCCACATTGCTCACACCACTCTGTTTAGATAGATTATAATCTGTCCCAGTTTGTCTACTTGCTCTAGATCTGAGGGCACAGACAGCTGTCCCCAAAATAGCATGATATAGTATGGTAATCATCCTTAATTTCCTATTAACTTTATCTGAAGCCCTGTATAACTTATACTATTTTCTTATGACTGATCTTAGTTAAATCTCGTTTGTTACATTGCTGTTTGGTATCAATGGATTTTATTCAAAACTTGTGGTTGACAGTATCAAGTCTGAGAGTATACGTAACTACACTAAAGATGACAAGATTCACAATGATACCCATTCTGGTTTGAATATTACCTGTTTTTGAAGTTTTATACTATCTACAATGTTTTGTTTTTATTAATATTGTTATGTACTGCTATATTCAATTATGCCTGATGATATAGGCAATTCTATTGAAGATAACAAGAGACAACACAGTAACCTAACCATTGTAGAACTCTTGTACTGTGGTTTTATATGTCTTTTTCATTCCATGTGTTCATAGGAATATGTTTTGCTTTGTCTTACTTTGTTTTGTTTCTCCCTCTAATATAGAAAGGATAGAAATACATGTAGAGTCTCATGCATGCATAGAATCTATAAGCAGTTTATGCGAACTGATCATATAACGCATAATGAAATGAACAACTACTTTGTTTTTTTTTATTTAAAGAAAAGGAAACGAAAAAAAAATACATGGAGATAAAAAAAAGGGTAGAAATAATACTAAATTACAGACAAACCAAAGGTAAGAAATTGCCGGTTGATAAGTTACAAATTGTCATCTTCGAAATGGCTGATAAACAACTACTTTGAAGAAAAAGAGATTCTACAGTACCCATTGCTGATCCTGTAGTGTCATGATGTGAAATCCAGCAATACTATTATTTTTTGTTCAGAGTGATTTTAGCCTGCTTTGGTTTGTTTAATCTCAACACAAATGAAGATATGGATAACTGCATGTATGTTTAAGAGTATAGGATTGATAACCATATTACTAAGTTTTTGTTGGATAGTTGAACAGAACTGTTTGCAGTCTTGCTGTTTGAATGTCCACTTTGTATGTTTCACTTTTGTAACTTGAACAACTATTTGTAAGAAGACAATATGTAATCATCAACTAGAGATTTCTTACTGTTTATTTTTTCTTTGAAATTATGTGTTAGTTCTACCCTTTTTCTGTTTTGTTTATTCTTTGTTTAAATTTAAAAAAAAAAGAAAAAGAAAAAAAGTGGGCCATCCAGGCCTAAACTCTACCTTAGGAGTATTTAAGGTAAGCTTCATGAAGGGGGCAGCATTTGAGCAGGTAAACAGTTGGGTTTTATGTCCAATTTGCCCTTTCCATAAGCCTGAAGAAGCTGTGCAGGTCCCTGGAGGAGAAACAAGAGGCCAATTCACCCTTTCTGTGAATTCGCCAGCACACAGGCTGGGCGACAAGAACATACCTCTGCTCCATCTCATAAGCAACTGGCTTATTCAGTGGAGTGGAGGGTGAGTTGTTAGCAAGTGAGGTGCAAAAACAACTTAATGATTGTATTGCTTGATTGACTTTGCGGCCCTAGAGCCAGTAGTCTGAGCATCTGTTGAGGAGATACCAATATGTAATATAGCAAATATGGAAGATTTCCTTTTGTGTTGTCTTTAAAATCCAATATTCTTACTGTTTTGTTTTGTTCTATTGATTTGTTTTATTGAATGTTCTGTTATTGGTTTTATTCTTTTTTTATTTTATTATGTCTGATAGTATGGGCAGCAATTTTGAAACTAAAGGAAGCATTACGATAGCCATTGTTGATTTTCTATTATCCTGTTTTAAAATTCTACATCACTTACACTGTTTTGATTGGTTTTACTCTGTTTTATTTTATTTGGTTTTATTCCCTTTAAAATAAATTTTTTAGAAGCAGCCAGCCTTTCTGGTAAGCCATGCAAGCTGCCTGTGGTTTCCAGGAAGAGAAAAGTCAGTGCCTCCCATTGAACCTGCTGGTGTGTGGGCTGCGAATCAACCCCTGCCTTAACCAACCCCCTGGTTTGGAGGACAGACTGAGTTGATAGTAACTAAGGTGCATAAAGTAACTAAATGCTTATATTTTCTAGTTGATTTTTCAGGCCTGAAGCCAGCAGTCTAAGCATCTCTTGGGAGGATGATAGTATGCAATACAGCAAATATGTGGCTACCTTGCCTTTGAATTCCAAACTAATGAAAATCACTGTTTTGGTTTGTTGTGATTGTTTTGCTTTATTCAATATTTTGTTTTGATCAGTTTTGTTTTTGGTTTGATTTTGCTATACTGGATGGAATGGACAACTATTGTGAAGATAACAAGATATAGTATGGTAGCTATTGTTGTTTTCCTAGTATCCTGCTTTGAAGTTCTGTGCCAATTTTGCTGCTTTGTTTTGATTGGCTTTGTTCTGTTTTTTTGTTGTTGTTGTTGTTGTTATTGTTGGGTTTTACTATCTTTAAAATAAAAATTTTTTAAATAGGATTTCAGCAAATGGCTATTGGCAAAGAAGGCAAATAAGTAACAAGTATAACTAGGATCGAATCTATTTCATTTGGAAGTCAAAACATACTGGTAGGTTTTTTATTACACAAAACTAAAGCAGTGAGAGAACATGCATGAAGACACTATGACTGAAAGGGATGTATTAATCTGAATTATAGAATAAAAGGCTGTAGGAGAAGACCAAGACAAGAACACTGAAGACCTTGAGTGCAAATACAAGAAATCCTAAGGTATAGAGGAAAACATTCAAAGCACCTTAGTTACCAATGGAGTGTATATTTTCTTTCTCTCCTTGGTAATTCTTATCTTACAACTAGTATTTCAGAGGGTCTAAGGGATTGAGTGGTAACGGAACAAAACAGAGCTGGAGCTATGTGAGGCTACCAAGCAGAAGAACTGGAAAATACTTTTGATATGAATCAATATTTTTCTTTGATAAATTTATTTTTAGACCAGACCATATTTATATATGAAACCTATATCAGAGGCTGATAAAAAACGAGCAGGGAACCAGTCAATTCCACAACTGACTGATTTATTGGAACTTGCAAAGAAGGAAAGAAAAACTGTGATATTTGACCTTTTTGGTCCTCCACGACATCATCCTCTCAGACACACATATGTCCATCGGGTAGTAAGCGTGATCCTTGCTTCTAAAATTGAACAACATCTGGTATGTCTGTCTTTGTATTTATGGTTGAGATTGGGTGGTGTCGGTAGTGTGCCCAGGAGGACAGTAGTAGAAGTTAACCTACTTTTTCAATATTTTCTGGGATCCTTAAACAGTTTTGCTTTCTATAAGAATTAAGATTATACATGCATTTTTGAGACAGGATCTCACAATGTACTCAGGTGGGCTTTGAGCTCAGTAAACAGCCAGCAAATTTGTGACAGTCTTAATGCCTCAGCCTCCCACGTGCTGGGATTACAGACATGTGCCACACACTCAGCTGCAAGATTATTTTGTATACACCTACATGTGGTTATCCGAGAATGCCCTGATTGAATTCATCTCATTGGGGATAAATGCTGAAACTGTTTGCTATTCCAAACCAAGAAAACTATTGGCACCTCATTGAAGAGGAATATGTATTAATTATTACATAATATGCCCTCACCATAACCAACATAGATCTATTAGAGCTGCTAAAGTTTTGAGGATTAGCCTTGAAAAATGACAACTGGTCCTTAATAGATAGCTAGAAAGACAACTGGTTCTTATTAGAGGTCTGTTCATCATGATTTTAAGGACCAATACTACATCTGAATTGTCAGTTGTTCCACATCACTTAAATTCTCATAATATGAGTGCTATTAGTAAACAAATATACACATGTTTTATGAAGTGGAACTGTTTCCACAGGTGTTTAATAACAGCAACCCTAGAGGTAGAAAATAGCTCTTCTTAAAGAGCACTAACCAGAGATATTTTTGATCCCCGTCTTTTATCCATGTCAACCAACTTTGCCAACCTCTTTTCCCCCTTCCCTTCTTTGACTGGGGATTGAGTGTAGGGTGTTGTGCCTGGTAGGCAAGTGCTCTACCACTGAGCTTTGTCACCAGTCCTCATCTACTTTTTATACTGGGCTTTCTGTACACTTTGGGCTCTTACCCTTAAGGTTAACTCCTGGATAGAGAGGTCCTGGAAAACTTCAGCTTTGAGAAAACCCTGGGTCTCATCTTAAGAGCTTATTAGACAATATTAGGCTAGATTGACTTTTACCAAGGGCTAGAATCTCCCTATGCTTCTTACAGGCCACTATCAGTGCTAAAATAGAACTTCATCCATCTCTATGGGTTATTTGTAATTAGTTAATTATCCTGTTTCTCCTTACAGATTTTTTGGTTGCCAGGTCACGATAGGGACTACGTCAAGTTCATAGCCCCTGGTTTTCAACATGTGGGCCGTTTATTCCCTATTGACCGCCTTATAAAAGAAAATATCAGTATAATAAATGTTGACTACAAGAGGCTATTCTACAATGGGTTGAAGTAAGTAACTAGATCCCTCTTGGCATGAATCACGTTACTGGTACAAAATGTACATATCCCCTAAGTTCTTTAATTACCCCTTCTCACTTTAGGATTTCTTTGTGTGATTGTTTTTTGGTTCCTCTACTTTCTCCTTCCTGCCTCTCCATCTGTTCCTTTACTAACAAACACTACCAAGTATATTATTCTCCCCACCCCAGAGAAAGTAGATTTAAGTTCCTCCTCCTTTGTATTATAATCTCTCATTGTACATCACATTTAAAAACTTTATTAGTATACATTGCAGTACATAATGACTACATTCATTGTGGGACGTGCTATATGATATAGCACATCTTTTTTCTTTTTATTCATTCCCTTTGCCTCCTTTCAATCCCTCTGCATCCATATCTTGGTTGTTGTCCCTTATGCAAAAATCTAACACTCGATTTCCTACTATATTTTGTTTTACTTTATAACTTATTTATATTGTGGGTTTCTCATATAAGAAATCCATTTTCCTACAAATACTCAAGTTTATCTTTCCTCATGGCAGAGTGTTATTCCATTGCATACAGATACCACATTTTCTTTTTCTTTTCTTTTCTTTTCTCTCTTTCTTCCTTCCTTTCTTTCTTTCTTTCTTTCTTTCTTTCTTTCTTTCTTTCTTTCTTTCTTTCTTTCTTTCACCAGGGATTGGACTCATGACCTTACCAGGCAGGCACTTGGGCCACTGAGCTAAACCCCCAGCTTCTTTTCACTTATTAATGGACATATAAGTCTCTTCCAAGATTTAGCTATTATAAATTATGCTGCTGTAAATGTGGATATGCATGTATCATGTAATATATCTTTAACTCTTTCTTAAAGATACCAAGAAAGGGAATAGATGAGTTGAACGGAATTTCTAGATTCAGTTTTTTGAGGCATCTTCATACTGACTTCATAGTGATTGTACTGGTTTACATTCCCACCAAGAGTGTAGAAAGGTTCCCTTTTCACTGCAGCTTCACCAGCATTTTTTCTTCATATTGCTTATTAAAATATATTGACAAGTTATGAAGAAGTAACTTTTTACTATTATTTCCTAATTTTAAAATATTTATCATCAGGTGATCCTTAGAATTATGTTAGAGACAATACTTACACATTGAGTAATTACCACTATTCCCTGCAAAGGAGGTATTATTATTATTCTTAAATTTATAAACTGAGGCTAAGAGTACACTAATGTATGACAGAGCCAGGATTCAACACAGGCTTGCACAGAGCACTTTCCAATATGACACACCTTGTCAGGGTCAAAGATGTTGAAAGCATTTACCCGGTATTTTTGGTGAGAATTGAATTCTTCAAAGTAGTAACTTGACTACTATTATTTAGTGTATTTCTTCAGTTATTTTTTTTTCCTGTTTTATAGCCTGGGGAAAAATTGAGTTTTATTCATCTGACTCAATTCTTGTAAAAATTCTTTATATTTGAAATTTAAAATATTTGTCAGATTGATATTTAGTTTGTACCTCTAACTAATATTTTAGAGCTAGATATTCCACTAGTTCTATATATATAACAGTTAAGTAAGACAGTTTCTTAAGTTACTTGTAGTCAAGTATAAGAATAATGATGAGTGAACAGATGATTATGAGTTGGTAAAAGCTGGGATGCAAGTAAAGCTGGTGCTGCCTAGTGAACCAGAGGAGTTTATAGAAGCCAACTTCTACATTAAAGCATCAGGGACTATGCAAATCTGTTTTCCCAGCAGTAGCTTGAAATTGACTTGGAAATTTGCAGATGCTACAAATAGAGCCTGGCCTCCTGTCATTCTTTGTCCTCTTTCTTCTTTCTTTCTTTCTTCCTTCCTTCCTTCCTTCCTTCCTTCCTTCCTTCCTTCCTTCCAGTCTTCTTTCTTTCTCCTCTGTCCCTTTTTCTCCCTTTCTTCATCTTTCCTTCTCTCTATCTCTTCTTCTCTTTCATTAAATTCTAGCTCACCATTGTTGCTGCAGAAGCAGAGGTGCTAAATCCAATCTTTTATCTCACAGTATGAGCCATTGCTGTCACTGTGAATTATAAAGTGTCCCTGGATCAGTTCCTTCTGATGATTTAGTCATCACTGACTTTGACAAATGTGATATCTGTTCCTCTTGTAGATGTTGAGAGCAAACTGGGTCTAAATCCCCGGGGGGGGGGGGTGTCTGTTTTTGTTGCAGGGATTATAAAGCAGCTAACATCTATATCAATTTATACCTTGTCAATGAGCCTTGGATTTTCTCACTGGCCTGGTGTTCCAGAATTAATTCAGTGACAACAGACAACATTCCACTCCTGAGTCAGCTTAATCACCCCCACTTCTTCATGGTGAGCTACTTGCGCAAACTGTCTTTTTCCTTTTTATCGGTACTGGGGATCGAACTCATGACTGCCTGCTTGCAAGGCAGGCGCTTATGCCGCTGAGCTAAACCTCTAGTCCCTGCAAACTGTCTTTTAAGCCTGGCATCATGTGTTCTATGCTCTCCACCCCCATGTTAAAAACTGCACAGTCTTCTGGGGGCTACTTAACAGCAGAGATTTCCAAGATACTGGAAATGTGGCATTCTCTATTTTTTCAACCAAATCCTTCTGTGATTTTCATTTATCGAATTATTACAGTTTGCTTTACATATGGCATGTAACTTAAACCTCTAAACTTACCACTACCATTATTATTATCTCCATGAGGAGACTGAATCTCAAAGATATCTTTGCACATGATCTCATGATGTAAGATTCATAATGTGGTCTGACTCCAGAGTTGTGATATTGTAGCCCCACATCCCTAAAGATACAGCCACAATGACAATGGCATGTGATGTTGGAAGAAAATTAATTGTACTTGACTGTAAAGTCAGAACTGCACCCTGGATAAATGATCTTGAAGAGGTAAGCCAGTGTCTATTTGTCTGCCCTCGTGTCCTGTTCTCTAGCCTTTCTGTTCCTCATTCCTCATTGGAATCCCAACTCAATTCCATCACTTACTACCTGTGGAAGGAGCCTTGGCCAGCCAGTTACTGTGACAGAGCCTGTATTTCTTATCTTTGTGGAGATTAGGTTGACTGAGTGGGCCACAGTAGCATAGAGCAAAAAATGGGTTTTTCTGTTTCTTTTGTTTTGTTTTCAAAGACAGCATATCATTATCTTGTCCGGGCTGACCTTGAACTCTTATGCTTAAATGATCATTCTGCCTCAGTGTCCCGAGAAGTTGGGACTACATGCCATCATACTTAGCTAAAAAAAAAAAAAAGAAAGAAAGAAAGAAAGAAAGAAAGAAAGAAAGAAAAAGTTTAATTTTGCTCCTTTGAAAGTTAAAATTATAGGCAGAGAAGCCTGAAATGTGGGGGGTGGGAAGTTGGGGGTTGAGGGGTGGTCTTGTCTTCCTTATACCTCCACTCTCATTGGCCCCTGTTTCTGACCTGGTCAGGTTCTGGACCAGAAGACATAGGATCGGGGTCAGGCTCATGGGATCTGTACTGTGTTAAGGTTCTCTGGTAGAAATATGGAGTTGCTAACTTCTTTCTCTGGTGACTTAAACATCTGTCTGGAACTAACTATGAAGGAAGCCTTGAATGACAGATTCCTCTGTACAGGGAAGCCTTTCCACCTCTCTGATTCCCATACAACTTTCTTTAATGCATATATCATATATTTTAATAGCATTTTTGTCTTTTAGAATTGATTACAAAAGCAAAGTTATTCATGCTATAAAATTCAAATATGGAAATGTTCAATTTAGGAAATAACACACCTACCATAATCTTGTCTTCCTGAATCACTAATGTCTCAAATTTGGGAAGTATACTTTTACTTGTATGATGCTATTATTTCTGAAGGTACTTCTTTCATTTCAGTATTTGAACTGATAATAAATTCATATGATTCAGAGTTCAAAAAGCATAAAAGAATGTAAGTTAAAATAAAAAAGAAACTTCTACACCTAGCCTGGGCTTTTCTTAAAGGACTAGTGTAATATGTCCTTTTGTTTAGAGAGGTAGGGTTTTTCTAGGCAGCTAACAGCCTGGATTAATATTGTGTATTCAGGGGCTGGGGATTTAGCTCAGCGGCATAAGCACCTGCCTTGCAAGCAGGCAGTCGTGAGTTCGATCCCTGGTACCGATAAAAACAAAAAAGACAAAAAAAAAAAAAAAAAAAAAAAAAAAGAAAAGAAAAAAAAAAAAGATTGTGTATTCATTATGTGAACCTGGAGTTAAGAGTTAACCTGTTTGTACCTATTTTGTTGTTTTTAAGTTGGAGATGATAGTATAGAAGTACTTTTATCCAATACACTAGGATTTAACTATTGGTCTGTTAATTGAGAAAGCTAAGGTAAAAAAAATCATTTTAAAAGATAGGTTCTATCAGCTAGCTTTTAGTGCTTAACAAAAACCACCTAAAATTTAGTACCTTAAAATAGATTTTATTAGGCCTTATGTTCTGTATGATGACTAGGTAGTTCCTCTGTCCTAAGCTTGTGAGGCTAGGTTGAATGGTCTAGGTCTAGGACAGCCTCATTGATTTGTCTGGAGTCTCACCTAGGGTGACTCAGGTCTCTGTGGCCACACATCTTTAAAGAAGCCACCCTGAGTGTGTTCTTCTCTTGAAAGTGAGTTCCCAGCAGCAAGAGAGGGCAAATCCCAATGCATATAAGATTCTTAATGTTCCCCAAGTGTTTAACAATCTTCCACTGGCCAGAGAAAACCACATGCCCATGTCCAGAGACAAGATCTCTAGACGTCACCTTTTGATGGAGAAAAGTAGTGCAGCTAAGTCACATTGTTTAGAAACATGCATGTAGGTTTGGAAGAAATACTGTGGTCATTTTAGTGTTCAGTATATACGTACACCTCACCACATTTTAATTTAAAATTCATTCACCTTTTGACAGACAAAATCTTTTCTTGTATACTTTAGCTGATAGAGTTTTATGTCCTTTTGCTTATTTAAACATCCAAATGAACTAAACATAGCTATGGTTTTTAACTTTTGTTGCTGTAAAAAGGAACATGGCTAGGTGTGGTTGTGCACATCTGTAATCCCAGCACTTGGGAGGCTGAAGCAGGATTGGAGGATTGCTGTGAGTTCAAGGCCAGCCTAAACTGCATAGCAAAACCCTTTCAAAAAAAAAAAAATGTATAGTTACTGGGAGAAACAACCAGAATGAGGAATTCCTCTAGTCTCCTTACCTTAATTTGTCAATGTTTCACCCATATCCAATTCAATTGAAATATATATATGTATATATATATATGTATATATATAATTTTAAAGAGGAAGAAAACAAGAAAAATACCACAGAATAAAATCAATCAAATAAACCAGAATAAGTGATACAGGACTTCCAAACCTTGTGAAATCAACAATAATCATAATACCTTTGTTGTTTTCAAAATAGCTGCAGATGGCACCTTCAGATATATTAAAAATCTAGCAGAACATGAAACAATGAATGCAATAAAAGCACATCAAAATAAGCCAGTAGTAAATACATAATGGCTTCCATAACATGTCTTACAATCTTTTAAACAGCTGCTCTTGCCATCAGAGTTAACATAAACAAAATAAAATAAAAATCTAACCCCGCAAAAAAACAATGAAAATGATAGGGTTTCTAGGTGGGAATCTCCTCCCATAGGGCCTGGTTCTCTCCCTCCACAGTCCACGAATGACGCTGACTCATGGAGAGGCTTGGGTCTGGCTCTTCTCAAGCCAGCAGTGGCCTACGCCTGTAGTTTATATTTTTAATGACATATTTTGTCCTTATGAGTTTTTTTAAAGAGAACAAAACCCAACAAAACGTAATAAAGCCAATCAAAATACAGCAGTGAAAGTGATACAGAACTTCAAACAGGATGATAGGAAATCAACAATGATTTAATTCCTATCATAATATATTTACTATCTTCACAATAGTTGTCCATACCATTAGACATAGCAAAATCAAAACAGAATAAAATCAATCAGAACATAACACTGAATAAAATAAAACAATGGATTGTAACAAAACAAAACAGAGGGAACAATACTGCACATTGTTATCTTCAAAATAGTTGCTCAGGTTGCCAGACACAGGAATAAAACAAAACAGCAAAATAAAAAACACTAGATTTCAAAAACAAGACAGGAGGAAATGCCCACAGCTGACACAAAGCGCACTGCCATCCTCCAGGTGGATGACCAGACCACCAGCCCCAGGCCTGCAGAGTCAACCAAACAATGCAAGCATCAAGCTGTTCCCTTCTCTTCTGTCGCTGTTATTGCTATCATCTCACCCTGAGTTCTCCCAGTTAGCATGTGTGTGTGTGTGTGTGTGTGTGTGTGTGTGCTCTACTGGTTTTTCAGCCCATGTGCCTGCTGTTTCTCTTCTGGCTGAGGCTCTTTCTGACAGGCACAGCAACACTTACTTCACGGGAAGGCATAGTTTCTCTTCTATGTTCTCATGAATTTTAAAAATCATTTGACTTAGTTTTTTTTGGAAAATGACATACTTCTTTTCACTCATATTTTACAGACTTGATCAATATTTAATCACACTGCACAATTACAATAAGTTCAGTCATCCTGTGGTTAAGCCATTTGGGAACAAGGATAACTGATTCTTGGTGTACATTCAGCTTGTTCTGGAGGGAATCCTGGAGCAATCAGTAGACTAAAGCATTTTCCAGAAGGGACTAAAAGCCTCAGTTTAGTGAAAATTGGAATTAAGCATCTATTATGCTTACTTAGTAGAGTTATTGTGAAGATTAAATGTAAAAATACCCCTAAAGTGATGAAAATACTTGCCTACTGGAGAAAATAGCCTCAGAATACTTACTAGTCTCCCAGTAAACACTCATTAATTGCTATATCATTGTCATGATTTATTAGAGTTGTCATTAATATTATTACTCAGCCCAAAGAAGGCCATTAGGATAGGACAGAGAATGGTCTGAGAAAGAATAAAAAGTGCAAACCCCAGTGCTGTCAAGCAAAACTGGCAGAGGAGAAATGAGAGGGAATGGAGGAAAGACCAAACCAGGGGATTATCAAGTGCATATTAGCAGACTCAGGAGACACAGCTTGGGAAATAGGTGATTTGAATAAAGAGCATGGAGCACTGGGCATGCAGGTAAAGGGAATTGTAGTTCAACATATTTATTTGAAGACTGATTATTCAGAGCAATTCTTCACAACTGCTGGTTCACAGACTAGTTTCTTCAGCATCACTGGGAGTGCATGTTAAAAACAGAGATTTTGATTTCTTAGGTCTGTAGTTAGACCCAGGAGTCTTTATTACTAAAAGCTACTTAGGAATATTTGGCTGTATAGTCAGGTTTAGGAAGCATTGTCATGAAAACATAGAATACTGCAAGTCAAGAAACTGGGCTGGAATCCTGGTCCTGTATTGACTTGCTGTTTGATTTCTCTGAGACCTCCTCAGCTCTGTCTTGAGGGTTACGGGAGGTCAAGGTATGGTAGAGTGTTGTATTCCTTGGTGAGCCCCTGCACCCATGATGGTGACGTTAGCGTAACCACAGATAATCTGTATTTGAGGCTTTTGCACCTGTTCTGTTCCACTCCCTCACTGTCTCCAGCCTGGGCAGTGGAGCAAGGGACTTGGCCCATATAATCCACAGTCCTTCCGATGATAAAGGTCTTTCACCATGGTTATGTTTTGCAGACTCCACGGTACTATATGTGCATATGGCTTATCATGGATATTATTTCTGCAATTTTCATTTATGCCATATTTTGTTTTCACTGGTAAGTGTATATCTATAATTTTAAATGAAGTTTTTCCAAAATAAAAGCAATAAATATGTTCTTATAGCAATTTGAGAAGAAGAAAAAAAAACAGAAAAAAGTTACATTCTTTCTATAACTGTACATGGAAAGATGAGTTATAATGTGAACTTCTCATTTCTTCTAGTGCTGCCTGCAGCTCCTCACATTCTTTCCTCTTTTCCAGCACAAGACAATATTTTCGGGGTAACAAGTGTCACTGAAGCTTAATTGAGTCTGCGAGGATAGATTCACTGCCCCTAAGTTGCTGAGTGAACTTGAGAAAATCACTGTCTCTTCTGGGCCATTTTCTTTTTGTCTGTTCAAGATTTTGATTTTTGCTAATTCTTGCAGAGCAAATACTACAAGATTGCAAATTTTACGGTAGAAGAGTCAGGGAAAATTCTGGAAGGAGAAAGTTAAAGGAAACTATGGTTTTTTAGTTAGAGGAGGGTCATCATTTCTTGATTCATAACTTATCCTTTAAAGGAGCAAGCACAGGCCCTGTGCTTAAGTGAGAATTTGACAGGATAGAGTTTATTTTTTAAAATATTAAGTTTATTGGTATGCTTTATCTAGACGTAATGATCATATTCATGATAGGAAATTTGTACCCATGCATGATATATTTTGATTCCTCTTTTTTCCCCCAATTTTCTCCCTTCCTTTCAACCCCTCTTCCCCTCCCTATTTACAAAGTTTTGTTTACTTTATCCTTTTTTAAAATATTTTTTTCCTTTTCCCTTCCTTAATAAAGTTTTTTTCTGGCCATTATCTTCTTCTTCTTCTTCTTTTTTTTTTTTTTTTAGAAAGAGGGCTGTGAGTTTATGGGTGGTCTGCTTCCTTCTAGGTGGAGAGAGCTCAAAAATGAAAAATTGCTTGAAGCCTCCAGAATTTTCGAAGGTAAAGTCAGAGGCCTGGCCCTTCTTTTTTCTTCATTCCTACTCATTGCTTCAAGAAGACAGAGTTTACTTTTCATATCTCTGACAAGATCTGAGGGCATATGGGGAATCTGGGTTATGGGGCCAGGGAGAAGTTAGAAAGTACTGTATAGTCAGTCAGTCAGTCCCCCCTGTATCCGTGGGGCCCAGTTGAGGGCTCAACCCCCAAACACCTGTGAAAAATGCTTAATACAAGAAAGTCATGTTGTTGCTGTTGTGCGTTAAATGGGCCTGTGTTGGTTGTGTCTGCACTGAATGTATATTCACAGGTCTCATCCCACTCAAAGAAAAGGGGAATTATTATATAAGGAATATATACTAGAGGTTGGGAAACTTGTAGGCTGTCATAGATTCTGACTCCCACACTATATTTTCAACTTCACTGATGTTTTCTTCCAGAATATCTTACCTGGTGTTAATTTTTAACCAGTAAAATTTTAATTTCAAATACTATATTTTTCATCTCTAAAAGTTCCATTTGGTTCTTTTTAATACTTTCCATTTTCTTCCTTGTATTCATGTTTGTTTTAAATATATGGACATAATTACAGTAGCTGATTTAAGTCTCATTTGATAGTGCTATCATCTCTGAGTCTATTTCGATTATTTAATGTGGATCATACTTTAATACAAAACATATAGAAAACAAATTTCAAAATGACAGTTTCTTCCTTACTAGTAATTACCTTAAAGGAAATACATAAAACTCCTGTGATAGAAATTAGCTGAATGGATTTTAAAAGCATGATCCAACTACTGTATATGCTAGCTACATTTGCTTTAGATCCCAACACACAAACAGATTGAAAGTTATAAGAATACAAAAGATATTCCATGCAAACAGTAAGCCAAAGACAACAAGGGCAGTTATGCTAATAATGAGATTAAATAGACTCACCAAAAAGTTCTCTCAAAGGAAGAAGTGTGGTTACTGAATACCATAAAACTTTACTGAGAAAGAAGACCCAAATAATAGGAGTAATATGTTGTGTTCATAAGTTATAAAACCTAATATCCTAAGGGTATTAGTTGTCATTAAATTGATCTACATACAAATTTGATTCAATAAAAGTCCCCTTTCCCCCTGTGAAGTTGACAAAAAATGAAGTTATGTATGCTTTTGTTTCTTCCAGATTGAAATATACTGTGGAAAAAAGTAACTTTGGCATTTTGGGCTTCTTTGATTCTCATTTTTTTCTAGATTTTTTTGGCCTTACAGTTCCTTATAATATTGTAAACTCTTTGATAATGTTAAGATGTTTTCGTTTTTGTGTATCATCTAGTTTTTAATTCCTTGATAGGAGACTTGTTCTCAAATTCCTACCTCTATTACTAGAAGGACCTACTACCCCCAGTCATGATACAACTATTTATTTGGCATTTAATATGTGGCAGACACTTCTGAGCACTGTGTATATAGTGGCAAGCAAGACAAAGTCTCATTATTTATAAGGTGTCAATCTAATTGAGGGTATGTTCATTTTTGTGATTAGCTCATTTGTAACTGATGTCTGTGAAACACATGAACATTGGGCATATGTCAGTTTTTGGCTTCTGAGGCTTCCCTGGTAAGCTAGAACCTCACACTAGACTCTTAAGCACACCCCAGCCCTGGTCTGAATCGAGGGGTTATAATGAAGTCTGAGAGAGGTAGGGAAGGCATGCTTTAAAGAACCTGAGAAGGTAAGTGAGGTGCTAATATTTGAAAGATGACTTGAATTTCACACATGACCAGCAGGCTTGTCTAAGGAATCTGTGTTTGTGTCTTTTCTGTCCCATAGAGGAAAGTTTAAGTCTCTCAGTGGAACAAAGTGAGAATCAAGAAGCTTCACAATTACCTAAAAAGCCTTTTACCCGAGTTGAAGAACGTCCTTGGATTCTAGGTTTACTTGGTAACAGAAGGAAACAAACAGATGCTTCCCTTTTTGAAGAAACCCTTGAGAAGAAACCAGGGTCTATCAAGATTGTTCAGAGCACTGTTACACCAGAAGTGCCCCTGCAGGACTTTAAAGCTCGCCAAGCTGGTGAAACTGCTCCTCAAACTACCTTGCCTATTGCAGAGGCAAATAAATCAACAGTGCCCATCACAGGGGCCCCCCATCCTAAAATATAGCAAAATACACCCACATTAGAACCTTCCAAAAAATCTCATGCTACATCAGACATCCCCTTATAGGATGTTATTCAAGAGGAAGTAACTGACGCACCTCAACCCTTCTTCCTCTCTGTGGCTAAGAGTAGTAATGGTGGAGAGTGATCAAGAAGGCACATAACAGGGATATCGAGGCTGTCAGGAGTACCATTTTGGTCCAGCCTTTCTATAAAGAATGCATCTTATAGTACATGGAGAAAATAGTGGTGTGTGGTCTTGGATCTGGAGATCATTGTTCTCTGAGTTAACATTTTTGTAGTATTTTCTGCTAAAGAAGTGACTGTGGTAAACATCAACATTTAATAAAGGTAATCTTTCAGAAAGCCAGAAGAAGATAAATGTCTATTCTTTGGCTCTCTCTATTATCTATCACTCAGACTGATGGAGACAGCGGGATGGGCACTGTGGGGATGCCATCCTAAAGCCAAGGAATGAGAGATGACATGGGTATGAGTCAGGTCAAGGTTTCATCTAAAACACACACACACACACACACACACACACACACACACACACACCTTCTCTCCTAGTGTGCAGTGGAATGCTTCCTAATACTTTGTGGTTCACTAATTCCCCAGTGGTCTTAATCCCATGCCCATCCATGGCCCTTGGCCTTTGAAGAAATCCAGAGCCACATCATGTTCCTAAATCTCTATCAATTTGGAAGAACCCAAATAAGGCAGGTCTAGGGCCTATAATGTGAGAGAAGCAGTGAAATGAGATAAAAATTGAATACTTAAGATACATTATTAATGAAACCCATGTGCAAGCTCTAGATTCTGTCTTTCTGGTTGACACTAACAGTTAGATACTGCTATTTACCTCAAATAAGATTCAAATATTAATATTTGTAAGTACAGATATTTAAATCCTCAAGGCAATAGGAATAACATGGTTAATTGCCAAATAAACTCAGACAGTAATAGTTTTGGGGATCCAGAGACAAAGTGACATTATTTTAGAATTAGAAATCTGGGAAAAGTTATAACTGAATGGTATAGGATTTGGAAAACTAGAGTTTGGAAAACATAGAGTACATATTAAATAGGCTAAACAATATAAACAAGATTTTAATACCAATCTTAAACTCTTTTTACTTTCTGTTTAAAAATTGTGATAAATGAATATTATAATGGTTTCTAATTTAAAAAATTTTAAGTATAGTTCAAGGGCAGGAAGTATATTCACACTGTTGTGTAATCAATATCACAGTATAAATCCAGAACTTTCTCAACTTGTAAAACAGACTTTGAATGGATGAAAGACTGAAACTTCAAAATGATTAGAAAACATAAGGACAAAGTTTTTTGACATTGACCAGTGCAATGATTTTTTTTATGACACCAATATAGGCAGCAAAGGCAAAAATAAATAAGTAGGACTGCATCAGAATAAAAAGCTTTAGTACAGCAAACAGAATGAAGAGATAACCTATGAGAGAAAATATTTGCAAATAGTACTTTTGAGATTAATATCTCCAACTCAATAGTAAGAAACTCAGCCAACTCAATAGCAAGAAAGTTACCTTATAAAATAGTGATCCAACTATCTGATTAGACATTTCTCAAAAGAGAACATACAATAGCCAACAGGTATGAAAAGGTACTCAACATCACTAATCATTAGGGAGACCCTAATTGAAATCATGATGACACGTTAACTCATATCTGTTATAAAAGCAAAGAACACTGTTATAACCAGTGTTGACAGTGATGTGAAGAAAAGAAAGCCCTGTATTCTGTTGGTGAAAATTAGTACAAGCATTATGAAAAAATGTATGGAAATTCCTTTAGAAAAGTGAAAAACAACTACCATATGATCCAGAAATACTGTACTGGATATATGCCAAATAAAATGAAATCAATATGTTGAAAAGCTAGTGGCATGCACCTATTTTTTACAGCATTTTTATAATAGTCATGATATGGAGATAACCTAAATGTCCATCAATAAGATGAATAGATTAAGAATGCCATCTATTTGCATAATAGGATACTATTCAGCTTTAAAATATGTACTGACACTTATGGCAACATAGGTAAACTTGGAAGGCATTTTACTAAATGAAATAACCTAGATACATAAAAGCTCTACGTAATCTCGTGTGAAACTGAAAACACTGAAACTCAGAAGCAGAGTAGAATGGTGATTGTTAGGGGTTAGTGGGGCTGGAGGTTTAATTCAGCAGCACAAGTGCCTGCCTGGCAAGCACAAGGTCACAAGTTCGATCCCTAGTACCAAAACAAAAACAAAACACCCCCCCACACACACACACAAACTATCAGGGGTTAGAGAGAGGGGAAAAAAGAGGAGATATTGGTTTAAGAATATGAAGTTTCAGTTATGCAGATGATAAGTTCTGCAGATCTAAGGAACATACAGCAATATGACTATAGTTCATAACAGTATATAGATAGTATGTTAACATTTGATAAGAGGGTAGTTTTTTTTTGTCTTTTTTTGAGACAGGGCCTCACTACGCAGTTCAGGCTGGCCTTGAGCTCATTTTGTAACCCAGATTGTTCTTAAACTCACAATGATCCTCCTGCCTCAACCTCCTGAGTGCTGGGATTATAGGCATGCACCACCATCCCCAGCTCAAGAGGATAGAGGGTTCTCACCACACAAAAAAGGTATCTGTGGTGTGAGGGATATGTTAATTAGCTTGATTCTGGTGAGTATTTCACAATGTGAAGGTATATAAAAAGGTGAACACTTTCAATGCATTATATTCAAGTTTTGTATGTCATTATCTTTCCTCAGTCCCTGCCATTCACCATTCTGCTTTGTATGAATTTGACTAGGTGCTTCATGTGAGTAAAATCATAGAGTATCTGTCCATTGGTGACTGGTTTATTTGTCTTAGAATAATGTTGAGTTTCATCCATTTTTACAGGATGTATTACAATTTCCTTCAGGCTGAATAATAGTCCATCACATTTATATACCACATTTTATCATTTATCCATAAATGGATACTTCAGTTGTTTCTGTCTTTTAGCATATTATCATAATTAATGTGTAAAAAAAACTATGGGTATATAGATATCTTTCCTATTCTTTTGGATATACACCCAGAAATTAAGTTGTAGTATAATATAGTAATTCTATTTTTAATTGTTTGAGAAATCCCACCAACACACAAAAGGTTTCCAGTTTCTCTACATCTTGGCTGATGTTTATTATTTTCAGCATTTTTATAATAGCCTAAAGAATGTGAAGTAGTATCTCATTATGGCTTTGATTTTCAGTTTGCTAATGATTAGTGATGAGCATTCTTTATGTGCTTTTGGCTATTTGTATAACTTTGGGAAAATGCCCAAGTCTTTTGATCATTTTAAAATCTACCTGTTTTGTTGTTCAGTGTTAGGAATCCTTTATATATAGTATTCCTGATAGCAGTCCTTATCAGATATTTTCCCCCATTCTGTGGTTGCATTTTTAGTTTGTTGCTAGTGTATTTTGAAATAAAAAAGCTTTTAATTTTGATGAAGCCCAATGTATCTATTTTTTCTTTTGTTCCCTTTACTGTTAGTGTCATACTTCAAGAAATCATGGCCAAATACAAAGTCATGATCATTTTGGCCCATGTTTTCTTTTTCAAGTTTTATCATTTTAGCTCTTAAGTCTAAATATTTGGCCCATTAAGAGTTCATTTTTGAGTGGAGAGAAGATGTAGGCTTGATAGGTAGCTGGGTGGAGAACCTCTCTGAGAAAAACAGCTCAGACACTGGAATTTGACAACATGGGGAGGGTCGGGTGAGGAGAGAGGGATTCTCGTGACCCAGGAGGAAACTGAGGAAAAAGAAAAAGGGGAAGAGGAAGGAAAACGCGGATGTAGGGCTGGAGCCAGACGCGCTCATTGAGATCGGTTCCGTGCTGTGCTGGGCGAGCTGTGGAGTCGGACGATTCACAGTCACACTGAAGCCATGGCTGCTGATAACAGGGAGTTGGTGAGTTCCAGGCCCTTGGCGGGCAGACACGGTGCAGCATGGAGTGGAGCCAAGGTGGAGAACTGCATTAATTCATGGTGAGTACTGGAAATTGGGTCCTGCGGTGGGTGTGGCCGGCTGGAAGACATATAGGAGTTGGGCAGGGTAGGCCTGAGTCTGGTGCCACAGTGGCATCAGGCAGTTGCCCCTGGCCCAAAGAGAACTGGTGGGACCTGCTTGGGCTGAGTCACGCCCCTGGTCAGGACCCAATAGCCAGAGATGAAACTGTCCCGAACCTGTGACATCCACACAGCACAGACTAAGTTGCTGAAGGCACTCACTGGTTGACTGGCTCAGAGAAGTAGGGCCAGCCCACAGTCCCAGTGTGCACCTCAGATAACAGCAAATTGGAGAAGGCAGCAAGCCCCCAGCCAGCATGCTTCAGAAAAACCATAAGTAATATAGACAGGGCCTGAGACCTCCACCATGCACCTGTCTGAAAGAAGCCAGAAACATGACAAGAGAAAGAAATAAGAAAAAACCTCCAGCCACTGACCCTGGGAAAGTAAGTCCAGGAGAGGTAAATACAGAAGAGAACCAGTGCAGCAATCATGCAATATTGGCCACAACATCAGCGGACATAAAGAAATACCTTTGTGACCTCATAGACAAACTTAAAACTGAAATTCTAATCCAAGTGGGGCAAGATATAAAAAGATTAATAAAAGAAATGCTAAGCCCCTCTCAAGAAGACACAGATGGAAGAATGGAGGAACCCAGAAAAGGAAGAGAAACCTTTGGTGAAGAATATAAACACAATCTAGAATACATGAAACAGATCCAAAGAGATTACCAGGACATTAAAAACTCCATTGAAAGCTGGAAAAATGCCTTGACAGAAACTAAAGTTAGCCTTTCAAAACTTGAAGATAGATTTGCATGGTGTGATCATGAAAGAAAAGACTTCTTAAAAATAACAAGGAACCAGGACGTAACAATTCAAAGGCTAGAAGATGACAAGAGGATCTATAATGTAAGAATAAAAAACATGAGTGAAGAAGCAGGAGTAACCACAAATGATCTACAAAGGCTATTCACATAAATAATTAAGGGAAACTTCCCAAGCATAGGAAAAGAAATGATATCCAGATAAATGAGGCATACATAACTCCAACCAACTACAACCAAAACAGACATATAATAATCAACTACACCCAGACATATAATAATCAAGATCCTAGAAATTCACCGCAAGAGTAGAATATTAAAAGCAGTCAGAGAAAGAAGCAGATCATCTCTAAAGGAAAATCCATCAAAATAATGACAGACTTCTCAACACAAAACTATCAAATCAAGAAGAGCCTGGAGTG